TGTGGATCCAGGCCAGGCTCGCATGGTGCTCCGGGCTGACAGCTCCTTCACTGCCCATGCTGGTGGCATTGAGCTCTTGGGCAGGGCCTGCTTTGGGCTGTGGCTTTCCATCGCTGCAATGCAGGCGGCTCTTCCTGCTGGCTCCGGGGGCACGGCCCCCTCTCACCTCCCTGGGCCCGTGTGTCCTCCCGCGATGCTCTGCTCCTCCGTGCCCTGGCTGCAGGCTGGAGAGACCCGGTCCCCAGCCCGTCCTCTGCCTCCCTTTGCCCTCATCAGCTCCCAGCCCTCTGACATCCCTGGAGCCCCTTCTCCAAGCGTGGTGGGGGCCGTGCGCTTCGTTGGCACGTGGCTTGACTCAAGCCCTCCCAGCCCAGAGGCCTGGGCTACAGCTGCCCTGGGGGGGAATATCTTGCTCTCTCCCTAGCCCGGAGCAGAAGGTGTCTGCTGCAGGGGAGAGTCAGTGCTGGGCGTGCACCGCACCGGGCACGACTCGCCTGGGGGGCACCGCACACGACCCCCTCCCTCCACGGCGCACCCCAAAGACACGAGGCAGTGCGGGCATTGGCAGACTGGCATGTTGAGAGCGGACCGTACAGCGCGATCACGTTCGCAGCGCCGACGCAGGCAGACCGGCGCGCTCCTGCCCGGCCGGCTGCCACCACGCCGGGGGCCTGATGCTGGGAGCACGCCAGCCCTGCCCTGCTGAGCACCCCAGCACCGCCCCTCCCTCCCTGGCCTCCCACCCCAGCTGGGCTCCTGCGTGGAGGGTGGGGGGCTGCGCCCACAGAGGGGCCGAGGCTCCAGCACCAGGGCCCAGCTCTGCAGCATGGACCAGGAGAGCTACGGCTGCCACGAGTGTGCAGAGCCGACACGCATGCACGCACAGAGCCGTCACACACATGCACGGGCACATCCGTGTGGAGCCCACAGATGCATACATGTGTACATGCAATCAATGCACGCACTCACGCAGGCACAAGCACATGGGGGTGTTTCTCATGTACACACATGTGCGCCGGCTCACACAGGACTGCCACCCCTGTGCAAGCATACATGACACCACTGCACACGCACACAGAGAACCGTCACACACCTGCGTGCACACATGATGCCATCACATGCGCACACATGCACAGAGCTGATGTGCACATAGAGGGCACCATCACACACATGCACGCAGGCAGACACAGAACCACCGCACACAGGCACATCCGCAGTCGTGTGTATGCGTGCACACAGAGCCAACACACACGTGCACACATGACCAGAGCTGTCACTCATGCATGCCAAGCCATGTTACACAAGCCATCACACAAAGGCATGCCCAGAGCCATCGTGTAAGCACACGCACATGTGCACACGCGGCCACTGAGCGCACACATGCCCACAGCCATCACGCACACACATGCCCAGAGACATCCCATGTGCACACAGACCATCATGCACACACACACCTGCAGGCCTTGCACGCGGGCGCAGCCAGCCCTGTGCTGTCCCGGGGGCCTCAAGCTCAGGACACCGACTCCCCGTGGGACACGGAGGGTGAGGGAGCACCGCCAGGGCCCTTCTCTCCTGAGCCTACGAGTATCCGGGGGACCTTTCTGGCCCCGCGCCCGAATGCAAGTGCAAAGCGCCGCCCGCGCTCCCCGGCCCTGATCCTGCTGCAGACAGGGCTGGGCTTGCCATGACATCGCCCCAGTGGAGAACACACGTGTGCACGCATGTGTGCCCTAGCCCCAGGACGGCCTGCCCACAGCACCTGAAGGGGCAAGGCAGGTGGGAGCTCGGGGGCCTGGTCTCCCCTTACCAAGGGGCCCTGGGAGTCTCCATCCCTGCCAAGCCCCACTCAGCTCCCCGGGGCCTTTCCCCAGCTACTGCAGCCCGGTCAGCAGAGACGCCCATGAAACACCAGTGCCCATCCCCAGCCACTGGCAGGAGCAGGGACCAAGCGCCGGCCATTGGTGCCACGCGGGCCTGGCCCCGAGCTGCAAAGGGAAGGCAAGGCAGGTTAGCGCCGGGCGAGGCTCCATCCCGCGCTGCGGCCGGCTGCAAGGAATGGGAAACAGTTAGTCGGGTCCCGCGGAGGGCGAGAGGGAGGCCAGGCTGCCCGCTTTATGCCTCCTGCCCCAACCCCAGCTCCACGCTCCCCCCGTGCCTGCTGCTGTTGTGGGTGCACAGATGCACCCGGGCTCAGCCCTGCGTCTTGGCTGCAACCTAGTGACCCTAATCGCAGGACCTCAGCGAGGCCCGATGTTAGTAGCATCACGACGACGTTAGACAACAACCGCTACGTCCCCCAGCACCGCAAGCCCCCCACAAAGGGTTAGTCCTCTCCTGCCGGCACGTGCAGTCCTTCCACATGCATCGCGGCCACAGGGACCAGCTGCGGAGAGACCAGCAGCGCGGCGTGCCCTCGGGAAGGGGACCCGCTCCCGATGACAGGTGAATCCTTTCTTGTCCTTCCCTTATTAACTTGATTTAAAAGCACGAGTCCGGCAGCCTCACGCTTAAAAACCCTGAGCTTCTCCAGGGCACTGAGAACCAAGCCAGGCAGGCCATTTGGGACGGTTCACCGGTCACGGGGAGCGGCGTCGGGAAGTCGAGAGG